TACGCTTACGCCGACCCAATCCATTGGGACACAAACCCAGTTCCCCCACCCCCCCCCCCCGTGTGGCCCCAGGCACCCGAACTTGGTGGCCTACCTGGACTGGTTCGCCGGGCCCAACGGGCTGGACCGGGAGGTCTACTTGGCCCAAAGCCCAGATGGCTTTGATGGCTTCTGGCTTTGGGGGTGGAGGTGGAGTTGGGGTTGAGAGGTTTGCTGAGGGTTATGACCTCGTGACTGAACCAGTGACCCCCAAAGCAAAACAAAAAGGTGTTCGATCCCCGTTTCCTCTACATGAGAGGTCCATTTTTTCATCCCACGTTTCCGGCTGACTTTTTTTGGTTCCAATCTCTGACTCTAATAGCTCAATTTCTGACTCCAAAACTGGCTCCAAAACTCCTCCATGAACGCGGTGCCTCCAAGTTTTTGACTCCAAACCTCCTTCGGGGCGTCCCGAGAAAACCTTCGAGCCGCTGGAGGTCATGGAGTTCTGCCCCTTCGGCCTGGCCGACATGATCTTCGTGGCAGGTGCCGGCGGACGGTCAGCGGCGGACGGTCGGGGGGGGGGGGAGACCCCCAAAAGGCAGACCCCCCAAAAAGGCAAGAACAAAAAAACGGCGTTAGCTTCCCCCCCCAAAATTTGTCAGGAGCAAAAAGCACACTCCCCCAAAAAGGCATAATCATATTGACACGGAACGCCTTTTCCACCCCCGGCAAAAGGCACCCAGGCCTGGAGTGCCAGGTTGGTTAATAGGGGAGGTCCCCATTGAAGAGGGGAGGGCATGGCAGCCCAACACATTTCGGGGGACTTCCACTCGTTGTTGGCACTTTGAGCGGTGGGCAAAAAAGAATAAAGTTGTTGCGCTTTTTTGGATTCCCATGTCAGTTTGTGCCTCCTTGTAGGGGGGTCTCGACAGTGAATTGCAATTGTAAATCCTTCCGCGTGTGTGTGTGTGTATATATATATATATGTATATCTCAATCAACAAAGTGAAGCAGGCGAGAGAGCGAGTGAAGAAAGGGCCGACAACCGCAAGGTGGACAGCTTTTTTGTTTATAGATGTAGATGGATGACGCCTTGCTTCATGATAAATGTTGGCCCGGGGGGGGGGAGCGGACACTGTTTGGTTGATCAAATGAGAGTCTTTACTACCAGCAGCGTTCAGAATGACTTTGTCTTTGAGCGAGACGTTTTGGAGGAAGAGAGGCAGCAGAGCATTTTGACTAGCCAGTGCAGAGGGCCTCAATATTTTGTTGCGGACCAGCCATCGTGGACTAGCTGACTAGCTGTGGTTGTGTGCCAGTTTCAGAAAGCGGTAGAGCAGAAACCCATGTTTCCTCGGTATGCGCCTCGGTTCCCGGCCTAGCTTTCTGAAACAGTCATGCAATTCAAGCGCTCCACGGAATCACCGGGTGCATTTGCTCAGTGCGGTCTTTGGCAAGACCTCAGATCTTGATGAAATCCATCTCCTTGACTCTAACCCAGCATGGGGTTGACAGCAGTCTATGGTCAATTTGGGAGGGACAGAGGGAGCTCACTAAGTTTCTCCCTAAACTCAGGAGGCTTCTCACGTCCCTTTGGGAAGTCGCCAGTGCTCCAAATCGCCTTTAGCAAAACATAGTACTCACAGTGACTGGACACGTGGCCTCTTCAAGGGCCGAGTCCGGGTTCTGAAGAGGCAACCTCCGGGGCGAGTACGAGAAGTCCCTCCGAGGCGGGCTTTCTCTGCGGGTTGTTGGATGCAGGTGAGACATAGGACATATTGCCATTCACATATGTGCGCCTTGGGCGGAAATGGCCAATTTAGGACGACATCTCACCAGGACTGTCCACTACTCTACAAATTGTTGCACAGCTCTCGCCCCCCCCCCCCTCTCTCTCTCTCTCTCTCTCTCTCTCTCTCTCTCTCTCTCTCTCTCTCTCTCTCTCTCTCTCTCTCTCTCTCTCTCTGCGCCCGTAGCACGTTCTTGCGGCCTGCAATACTCAGCTACCTTTCAATGAACACTTACACAGCACACCAGGACCAGCATTCATTTGGTGTGGGTGAAGCTTTGAAGGAGTATTGAGTTTGAACTGGTTTGGCGATGGTCTTCTGTTGGTCTAGTCTAGCATGACTGTGCATATTTGCAGTTGTTCTCATGTTATCATGTTTGATTGCCAACTTTAAAGGACATCCCTGAAAGGTTCTCACATTTGACCACTCCCAGCCCGGTATCTTCAACAACAGGCCGCCCTTGACATCTTTTGATACCGGCTAGCAAGGAAGAAACATGGTTTCGCACGGCGGACATGTGCAAAATCTTTTCAAGAGGGAGGTGCTAGGACGTCCTAGAGAGAGGACAGGGAGCTTGGCCCCAAAACGACTTGGCTTATGGAAGGAACCGGTGTCTCATTTTTTTGATTTTTCACCAGCCGTGTTTGCTTGTGCAATTCCTCATTTTGGATTCTCATTTTGCTGTGCTGTTCACAGACGAAGCGAGCAAGAAAGCGAGTGAGCGACCGGTGATTCCAAAGAAAAAAGCACCTTGGTCCAGTTCTTTCTTTCTACCCACGCCTGGGGGGTCCTGTTCTTTCTTGAAATCCCGCCGGCTCCAGTGTGTTTCTGATTGGAATCGCATATTATGAAATCCCGCATTTTTTTTTTAAATCACGCCTGGAGGTCTCATGTTTTCTTTATTCATGCCTGTGGGCCCGGGTGTTTGTCTTTGGAAATCACGCCTGGGGCTCCTAGTGTTTTCCGGTTTTACATCACGCCTGGGCGTGATTTCAAAAAATCAAGCACCGGAACGTGATTTCAAGCAAACAAAACAACAACACCGGGACCCCAAAAAAAATAGAAGGACCCCCCAGGCGTGACTTCAAATATGTGATTCCAAAAACAACAACACCGGAGCTCTTATGGAAACGTAACACCAATACAAATCACGCACTCGAGTCATAAACAATGACAGATCTGGGTTTTAGGGAAACTGTGGCGAGCCCCAGTCACACCAGCATAAATGCAGAGCAACTAAGCTCCGAACCAAAATCGGATTGTACAAGCAAGGCCAGAGTGGAAGTAATCATGCTAGATGTTGTTTTGGACAACCCTCTCAGTTGAGACCAGACCAAGTCTTCATTTGTTGTATGTTTGCTCAATTTGTGTGCGGTATGGCTCATGTGCGCAAATGTATGTATGTAGATATATATATATATATATGTATACATATATATATATATGTATAGATAGATACACAGGCACATTCATTTTTCAGTTGCATACATGCAATATATATATATATATATACATATATATATATATACACATATATATATATATATAGTCTTGCCACACGTGCGGGCATGTACGTGTGCAGATATGTGTGCCTTGGGCATAGTGTCCAAGACCACCGGTCCAGTCCAGCAGTCTGTGGTCCATTTGGCAAATCAGGGGCCTTCATACTTTTCGCATGCCCGGTAGGACAACGGTAAAACTTGACCGTGGTGCAGCTTGGAAGAGTCATTTTGGGTTACGTTGGCCAGCCAACTCATTGGTGTTTTTTTGATCAACTGGTTCCTTTGCCTCAAAAGCTTAGCTTTTCATTTGTTTTGGTACGAGAGGGCAACCCCTCGCTTGTCCAAGCGTGTCACCTTCGGTCCGCGCAGAGGACCAAGTCGCGGTCCCAGCTTGGATCAGGGGGGGAAGCGAGTCGAGAGTTGGTCTGTTGCCCCGAAAGTGAGTTGCGATCCGCATTTGCCCATGAGCATGTGGCCCCCGAACAAGCACATGAACATGCAGTTGATACTCCACAAGTTGAGCAGAGAAGGTGGGCTCGTATGTGGCAGCTCCATTTGAGCCACATCAAGAAGTTGGATCTCAGTCTTGACACATAGCCAAGCCGGGGTCTAAACACCCCTTCCCATGACTCACATTCTTAGAGTTTGACCATGGCATATGTGGATTCCCAGAATGCGCGATCTGAGCAGCTGGGGCAAAGGGGCGCCAAGCGCTGGGCGAGTGAGGCCAGCAGAAAAGATCATTCAATTCTAGGCTTGAAGTTGGGTGTGCTATGGACAGGCGAATGGCGTCAAGCCGCAGAGTCTTGTCGGATAGGCACTGGACATTCTAATTCGGTGTTCCTTCGGCGCTGCTTGCTTAAATTGAGGCCTCCCAAGGTTTGGAAGAGTTCGTTCTCCTGTGACAACTGAAGTCTCTTACTCCGTGACACGCTCACATTGGCATTTTGGCTGTGTGTCATCAGCCCGGAATCTCTTTTGCGACTTTCGGGGGCAAAGGCTTGTATTTCAGCATGCCGAGAATTCCGATCACACGGACATTCGCGCCCGGCTCAAGCAAGACTTGTCCTGGTATATCCGTCGAAAAAGGACGCGTCCCCAAGACAAGTGGTCCTTCCGATGGCGCAGAAGAACGCGGGCAAGTGGGCCAAGGATGCAACCAAGGCGCGGTTTGACTGCAGGCTTGCCCTTTACAAACCTGGGTTGGGAGCCCTCCGCAGATGGGTTGCGCTGGCTTGAGGCTTTGCTAGGTGAGGCTTTACATTTGCTAACATTTAGGAGCATCGGGCGAGCCAAGCGTCCCCCGGCAAAGAACGGGTGTTTGCAAAGGTGCTCAGACCCTACCAATCAGACCCTGCGAACTCAGACCCTACCAAAATGGTCCAAGAAAAGAGTGGCCTAAAAGGCAATGATGTGGGACTCTTCAAGCTGGCTGTGCTTGGCGGTTTTGCCATTCCCTCTTCTTTCAACAAGTCCTTCCGACATTTGCATAGAGTGCGGGCGCGGCAGAATCGATTCAGCTGCTCAGGGGCGGCCATTGGGCAAGTAGGGAATGGACCCAGCCGAACTGATCAGGATCCCGGCCATTCCCGGCCTTTTGGCAGCTTGCTGCAAGTGAGACTTGGTTGGATTGCTTGATCCCATGGGAATGCAGTGTGGAGAAGCTCCGATGGCAAACCAGCATCTTCACGAGTGTGCTCAAATTCCTGCTAAAAATGACCTCCTCATGGGCGTTTTGAAAGGTCCTTGCTGCAGAATCTGCTGAACTCTTTGCCATTGGACTTTAGTCTTGCATGGCCAAATGATCCCTGTTGACCCCAGGCAGCTGTCAAACCCGCAAATCATTTTCAGGATTCAAGTCCACATTCTGCACCACTGCGCAACGCTATCTTCGCTGCAATCAAAGAAGCTTGCTATGCCTCTCATCCGAACATCGCACCACCAATTCTCCCCAACCGCCATCAGGTGCTTGCTGTTCCAGAGGTCCCACTAGTAAACTTCCCAGTGACGTAACCTTTGTCTTTTGGTGCCAGTCATTGTTGAATTCCCTGCAGCACGGATTGAGGTTCAACCGAAGCTATGAGCAACTGCGAAGAACGCTTGTTCAAAAGCTAATTCCGCACAGATGGGAAAAAAGGACCACGATTTCAGGTCTTCCTTTGAAAGATGAGCCCAACAGGAGTCCCCAGCTCCTCGTAACCTGCTTTCCTGCACAAAGGAGGGACGCCTTTTCGCTCCCCAAACGATCCTGCTCCCTGAACATGGAACTAGGGGAGATGCGGACAGGGGCAGACTCGTCACCGTTGTGAATGGCGAATGACCTTCCTCCCCCCCCCCCCCTTGCCCGCTTGCCCTCGGTTTTTTTCCCCCGAAAAGTCTCGTTTTGACTCCCCCTCCCCCCTCCCTTCCCCCCCCCTCCTCGTTTTTTCCCCCGAACAGTCTGGTTTCCGGAACCGCCAGGGCTACCGGCCCTCGCTGATGGCCAACTCCTACAAAGCGCTGCAGCCCCTGGAGCCTGGGGCCCAGATCGAGACCGAGCCCCGCGAGACCCCCAGGGCCTGGCGCGAACGCGCGCGCAAGCCGCGCCAGGAGTTGGGTTCGGGGTGCAGCGGGGATGGGGACCCCGGGGCACCAAGTGCTTCGTTTTGAGTGGGGGGGTGTTTTTTTACAGAAGAGGGGAACCTTCACTTTGTTGGGGCAGGTTTATTAATCCGGGGGCAACAGTAGATGGGTAGAAGATAGTCCAAAATCAGGCGGATATCCGCCCTTTAGATTCTTTGCATTGTTTTCAGATCCGTCGGGCAAACCAGGGGTTCCAGGAGAACCAAAAGGAAGAAAGACACCAATGGCCTTCGGAGCATGCGTGGTTCCGTGTTGCAAGTTTTTGGTTTGGGTTTGTCTCGAGGTTGGTGTAAGGCTGGGTGTAGGCTTGTAGCGCACCGGGAGGCTGTTGCCCAGCTCCGGCACCAGCTAACGTTGGTGCAATGGATTCCCTGCTACTTGGAATCCCTTTTGGGGGTTCAGCCAGTCGGTGGTTCTGGGAGCACAGAATGCGTCGCCATTGGTGTCGATTTTAAAGGTGGGTCTCAAAATTCAGGGATTGTTTAGGCGGTGGTTTGAACATGTAAGGGGTTGGCCCCGACCCTGAACTTGGTCGTGGAAACCTGGGGTTCAGGGCCACTCTCTGCACAGCACAAACGTCGCCTTGAGAGCAGTATGAAGATCGTCATGGGAATTGCCCTCACTCCCATGTTGCCGTGGCACCTCACAAGGGGTCCCAAGAGGACAGAAGGAAGGGTAATTTAATCAGCTTCCCCCTTGGTGGATTGGATTGGTGGCTTGGCGATTCATGAATGATCCAACCGGACGGGTTGCCTGACGCCTGGTTTCAAAAAAGAACCACGCACCCGGCGTTTGGCTGTAGAAAATAACATCTCGGGCGGATGAACGCTAAGGGACAATCCCGGCCAGAAACAGCAGCGGCCGCCTGCAGGTATTGCCTTACAGTATGTTCTGGGGCCATCTTAATACTTGTGACCAATGATCCACTTCGGCATGCCCCAGATGCGAAAATATGCCAGGACCGTCAGGTTAAGGTCACCTCCGCTCCCGCAGCAGCCTTGGGCCTGCTGGATGCGCCCAAAGGCGCGGCTATTCCCTTTCTATTCTGGAGGTGGCATAAACACAACGATAAAGGCACATGCTATCAACGGAACATGACAATAATGATATCAAGATAAAAAGAGAGAGAGAGAGAGAGAGAGAGAGAGAGAGAGAGAAAGAGGCAACTAAAAGGACGCGTTCATCACTCGGCAAAGATATCATAAGATTGATAAGATGGAACACGACACTAACATTCCAAGCATAAACAACCAAACACGCGCGGACGCACACAGAGGTGTTGTTGTCAATCGATGCTGCGCGAGGGTACTGCAAGCGGTGTGTGTCTCGTGACAAAGAAAGCCATGGAACTGCAATTCAACTACCAGAAACCATCCCCCAAACCCTAGTATGTGAAGTAAGCCGAGTCTGGAATTGATCTGGATAGTTGTCCCAGGTTTGTACGACTCCCAGCTTCTTCAGTTCCCCACCCTCGCCTTTATCATGAGATTGATGGAGTCGACCGAGCAAATTTTGCATCCAAAGTGCGATTGCGAAGCGAATGGGACAGCATCCTTTGTTGCAACAGCTTTGGCTAGCAACTTTTTGTCTGTTCTGTTCTCCATGTTCTCCATTTGCAATGTTCTGCTCTGTTCCGTTTTGTCCATTGCGTGCGTTTGCTCGTTTCTGTCTTGCACTGCTCAGCACAGCGGCTTCCTTTCTTTGATTAAGAAGGGGGGGACTGGAACTGCTGGACGGGCAAATCTGCCTGTTCTGCTGAGCTTCTTTTCTCGAGGAGCTCCTGTTTCCAGTCGGTGACTTCACGCGGGCAAAAAAAGTCCTGGCTTCTTTCAATCGATTGGGTTGCAGATTCGGATCTTTAGGAGGTTTGGATGTCCACGGACTTTTGCTCGAACAGTCCGCTCATTGATCTTTGGGCAAGAGTGGTGTCGGTTTTTGCATCTTTTTCTGGACCTCTTATATAGGTGTGACCTTGGAGGATTTTGGATCATGAAAATCCGCACGCACCGAACAAGAAAGGTAGACCATGGGCGAAGGTTTCCTTTCGTTTGCCTTCACCAGGGTCCAGAAGCCCCAACTCGGAGCCCTGGTTCAGGTACCCTGAGCTGGGAAGGCCGTGCGAAGTCTGGTGCCCTAGGGCAGTAGAAGTTTCTCCCATCCTCTTTGTTTGACCCAAGGATCTTTTTCCTTGGCTCACGCTCGCATGCCGTGAGTCATCCCCAGCTTGTTTCACTGTCAAACGACGGACCCCCCGGGAGGGTTTCGCGCCTGCGGAAATTCACGGATCCGAGGCATAGGCGTGCTTTTTGGCTGAGTTTGATTAAAAATCGATGGGTCCCACTGGTTTGTTCCGTGGGGTTTCTTCCATGTACCAGGGCCACCCATCTATTTTTCTCAAAAGGCCACCTATGAGAATCCCCGGGATGCCGACGGACGGATCCGACGGAGCGCTTTGGTCGCAGGGGGCTGCGGCCACGGCCTGGCGCCGCCTGCCTGCCGCGCCTCCAACCTCTCCGCGGAGGCGCAGCCCTGGCGCCCCCAGGCGGGGAGTCGGCGGAGTCGAGGAGCTCGGTGTGCGATGGGCGAGATCTGATCTGACGATGTGTTGGAAGGGGTTGGGAGATTCGGGGCGTCATCCTGTTGTTGGGTGGATTTCACAGGTTTGAGGTGTTGTGGGGTATTGGGGTGTTTGGGTTTTGTTGGATGTCAGACGCCATGTCATGGACTTTGAGGTATCGCGGAAGAAAGCAATTTGGCAATGCCCCATGGCAAGCTTGTGCCAGCAGGATACGGCACAAGCGACACAAACTGCATGAGACACAAAGCAGGTCTCTGATGCGGCACCCAACCTCCCGGCTGGGCCCCCCTCGACCAGGTGCCGCAGGTTCCGCAGATGCCGCCGCCCATGCCGCCGCAAATGCCGATGATGCCCATGCAGCAGGCAGGTGATTTCCTGAAAAAGGGGGACCACCCCAAAAAACCAATAAAGAAAGGAACCAAAAGAGGCCCCCCCAAAAAAACATAAATAAATAATATGAGGCAATGTCCAAAGGATGGAGTCTGTGAAGCTGCCCTTTCTTTGTTGAGGTATCTTAGTCAATTATAGCTTGCTCACCAATAAATTGGGGCAAGAAGGAGCGCACCCGTGAGAATGCTCCTTTAACAGGGGGTATCCAATCGTTTGGGAGAAATTCCAGGTGCCACAGATGCGCATGATGCACCAGATGCCGATGCCCATGCAGCAGATGCCGATGCGGCAGATGCAGCCAGTGGTACAGGTCCAGCCGGGCACATACATGCATTGCTCGAACATTCAGATGGTGGCGGTGCCTCAGGGGCCTCCACTTGGCCCCATCGGACCGGTGGGCTACCCCCACGGAACGAGCCCCGCGCCGTACGCAACCAGCCCGGCGCCGATCAGCCATGCCCGCGAGGGCGACTGTTTGCGCTTGGCACAGGTGTTGCCTGCCCCTGAGAAGGACTGCGAGGGTGCCAGGGCAAGGTGATAGTCGAAAGAACAAGCACATGATCTTTTTCGAATGCCCGCACCTTTTCCCTATGCTGTTTCGACCAAGCAAACCACTTTTCTGGAACACGACAGTCAACGGCGGACCAAAAATAGGTGGCATTTGTCTTGGGGGTATTCCTTTTGGGGTGGTTTTGATGCCAAAGGAAAGCCACCTAAGCCACTTGCTTGGAGGGTGGTTCTGTTTGAGGCACAAGCACACCGTTCCCTAGATGTATCTCCAGGTAGGTGCTCAGGGAAGAGTGACCCCTATAGACCTTTCTTTGTGTGGGGAGTTTGCTAGGCAATCCCCAGGTTTCCCTCGTTCGCCTATCGCCTATGGCATTCGGCTGATTCCCTCGGCGGAGGAGCGTGAGCTGCCCTCCAAGGGATCCGCGCAGCACGCGCTGAAGAGTTGCAAGCCCTGCGCCTTCGTGTGGCAGGCCGGGCAGCTGGGTACGGTCCGTCCTCGGAGCCATGCACTTTGTGGGTGGGGGAACCTCCACTTGTTGGGTGCGGGTCAAACAAGGAACAAAGAAGGCTTTGGTGGACAACATGAGTCACCAACTGTGAGGGCTCACAAGATGCTGACAAACCGGTGCAACATTTTTAACAAGCCCCTTCTACATTGTACATACATTATATATATATATATACATATATCTATATTATGAGGTTGTACAGGAGAATATCAAAGTTGGGATCCTTGGCATCCGTCTAAACATGGAGAAGTTGCCGGAGGTTCCAATCCAGAAGATTTCCGGAGCGAGAAGTTCAGAGTGGTTCGGAACCTTTGTATTTTTTAAACTACGGGGTTCCAGTGTCGGGGATAGTGAACTGTTAGCTATTTTCTAGTGTTTGCCCTCCCGTTTTCTGGGTGTGCGGTTGACTGCGTGAGCACGTGTTCAGACATGCACTGAGCCAACATGCTCCCCCTGCGATTCTCCACGAGCCAGCCCATCCAACTCCACCAATCCTCCCACAAAGGCGACCTTGGCACACAACCCCCCAAAACCAATCCACTTTGACAAAACCGGCCTCAAACAGTCTTCCTGATTTTCACCTCAAGCAACCATAGCGACCCTCCAAACGGCAGTCCACTTCCCAGCTCAAGCAAACCCCCCAAACCCCCCAAATGCCCCCGAGAACTCCCCAAAAAGCCCCCCCTAAACCCCCCCCAAAACCTTTCGAGAACTCCCCGAAAACCCCCCCAGCAGAGCACCTTTTGCCAGGGCTGCCGGAACGGCACGCAGTGCGAGTTCTGCCACCTCTGCGAGCCCGGGGAGCGCAAGCGCCGCAAGAAGGAGCGCCGCATGGCCAAGCGCGAGTCGTGAGCGGTGCGGTTCAGCGGTTCAGCGGTTGAGCGGTTCGCGCGCGCCTTCGCCCTGGCCGGATCTGAGATCCGACGTTCCGGGCGGCCCCGGGACGTTGGTGTTGCGCCCGTTGGCATACCCTCCCTCCCAGGTTTCAGGGCACCTAGAGAGTGCTTAGAGGAAATGGATCCAGGTAGCCCCTCACAAATGCTCTGTTGGTGGGAGGAAGGGTATGTGTTGGGACAAAGAGCAGCTCGTACTGTCCATGTTTTCATAGGGCATTTGTTACAGGTGAAAGTGAATCCCAAACGGGCTGCCCGCGCACGGCCGTTCCATCTTGGTTTCTATTAAAAGGGCCTCTCCCGACGTGCCCAGCGGACCTACATCTCTCTCTCCGAAAAAGCTGGCTTTCCGCATCATTTCAATACAACCTTCACATTGGAGCTTCCATGTAGCCGCCATAGGCCTACACGGAGGCCTTAAGGGTACTGCAAGTTGCGGTACATTGTAACATGCTCTTTCTCACTCTCTCTCTCTCTCTCTCTCTCTCTCTCTCTGCATATAATACTTCATATATACATATATTTATATCTATATGCATACTCACATGTGTATATATGTATATCTAAGTATACACGTACAAAATTCGTATTATATATATATATATATATGTATATATATATATATATGTATATATATGTATATATACATACACACACACACGCACACGCATCAAGGTCACTTCCCCAGAGAAAAGATCCGGCTCAGAAGTTCGGAGAGGGATCGCGGTCCAGGTAGTTCAAGCGTTCCGCCGGGTTCAGACTCGATGGCTTCAGGCTGCCTGATACATCTCCATGACTTTGGGGCATGGGACAAGGGATCCATGTTGGAGGCTTTGCTGTTGGGGGGACCGAGACGCTTCTCTGGGCAGCTTTTGGGTGTGCCTGGGCCTGTGAGGGGACCTGCGATCCCAGTTGCTAGCGTCTGCAACACCGGCGGACGAATCGCTTTCGCAAGACATTTGAGACACGCAGATATTGTAGACCGCCCGGGCGAAGGAGCGACACCTTGGAGCTGTTGGGCCCAGCGCAAGAACCCTCAAAAGCAGTGAGATCACTTTCGGCCACCTTCCGAAACGGCTTGAGATCATTTCAGATGCAAACAGCTCGAAGGCTTGGTGTGCTTGTTGGGGCCAATCCAGTGAGTAGTAGTTCCTTTGCCCGGAGTCAGTGAGCTGCAGGGGCTAGATAACACCTCCCCACAGCATGCCGGACAAAGCGCTGGCCACTGACATGATTCACCAACCGGCCCCCTTGACCGAGGGCTTGCCGAGAGCACTGTGACGCCCCCGAATTCGCTGGACAGAAAGGTACATGGTGCAACAGGGCTCCTTAAAAGATACATTTCGTAAACATTTGAAACATGGCTTTTTCCACCAAAATAAAGGGAAACCACCATTCACAAGGCAATGTTCAGGTGTATAATGTAAGGATCCCTGTGCAAGCGGACCGAGAGCCCGCTTTTGGGAGATGTCTCTGGCGCTTTTGCCGATCGCGCCCTTGATCAAGTTTGAGGACCTTTGACCTTCCCACCAGAGCCGCTGACTCAATCTAAGGAGTTGCTTACAAACACCAAATAGGCCTCCTTTCTCTGGCCTATCAGATGCGCACCAGAAAACTATTACTGGCCGCCAATTTTGTCCTTTGGAAGGACATGGGGTCGCATATTTCTGTGCCGCATAGTTTCCCGCTTCCCGCTCAAAAACGGCTCGACGAACTATCAACAAGCAGTTCCTTCTCTGTTGTTCACTTGGAGGGCCCTTCCGTTTGCAGGGTTGCACGAAGGCTCTAAGGATGATCAAACCACAAAGAAGGTTTGTGAATTTCCTCTACATTGCTGTTGTTTGCCAGGTACATGCTTACCCCTGTGTCGATCAGGTCAGGGCACACCTGGCTTTGAATGATTTCCACACCTGTTGGTGTTCAAAGGGAAACACACCCACCGCGCTTTTTTTTGGGAGAAATCCGCCTTGAGAGCGCCATCCCATGTTGGCTGAGGGTTTTCCCGCAGTTTTGCCGGGTTTTCCATGGTTTGTTCCGGGTTTCTGCTGGGTTTTGCTGGGTTTCCCATGCCTTTCCTCCGGTTTCTGCTTGGCTTTTCTGGGTGTTTTCTAGGATTGCTGTGAGGTTTTCCCTCAGGCCTCACACCTCTTCCCGCTTCGCTTCGCTTCGCTTAGGCGAGGCGAAGAGTCCCTGGCTCTTCCGCTTCCCGGAGCGGGAGGTCGCCCAGGCTGGAAGGCTTCCGAGACCTCGAAGGAACTCCGCGTGATGTTAAACCAACCACATTGCGACTGGGCCATCAATGATTCATGCAATTTTTTTGTTAGCGCATCGCAAGGTCCATCAATGATTCATGCAGTTGCAACTCCGAGAATTGAAGTAAGCTCAGGTGATATCCCCATGTGGTGCTCTTTTTAGTGCTCGCACCACCCCGCAGCTCTCGCAGCACCTCGTGGAACCCTCGTGGAACCCTGGTGGAACCCTGGTGGAACCCTGGTGGAGCCCTGGTGAACCCTGGTGGAACCCTGGTGGAACCCTGGTGGAACCCTGGTGGAACCCTGGTGGAACCCTCGCAATCCTCAGTCAAGCACCTGTGTGTCGTTCTGGTGCGTGTGTCTGTGTGTGTGTGTGTGTGTGTGTGTGTGTGTGTGTGTGTGTGTGTGTGTGTGTGTGTGTGTGTGTGTGTGTGTCTGTGTGTCTGTGTGTCTGTGTGTGTGTGTGTGTCTGTGTGTCTGTGTGTCTGTGTGTCTGTGTGTGTGTGTGTGTGTGTGTGTCTGTGTGTCTGTGTGTCTGTGTGTCTGTGTGTCTGTGTGTCTGTGTGTCTGTGTGTCTGTGTGTCTGTGTGTCTGTGTGTCTGTGTGTCTGTGTGTCTGTGTGTCTGTGTGTCTGTGTGTCTGTGTGTCTGTGTGTCTGTGTGTCTGTGTGTCTGTGTGTCTGTGTGTCTGTGTGTCTGTGTGTCTGTGTGTCTGTGTGTCTGTGTGTCTGTGTGTCTGTGTGTCTGTGTGTCTGTGTGTCTGTGTGTCTGTGTGTCTGTGTGTCTGTGTGTCTGTGTGTCTGTGTGTCTGTGTGTCTGTGTGTCTGTGTGTCTGTGTGTCTGTGTGTCTGTGTGTCTGTGTGTCTGTGTGTCTGTGTGTCTGTGTGTCTGTGTGTCTGTGTGTCTGTGTGTCTGTGTGTCTGTGTGTCTGTGTCTGCGTGTCTGTGTGTCTGCGTGTCTGTGTGTCTGTGTGTCTGCGTGTCTGTGTGTCTGCGTGTCTGCGTGTCTGTGTGTCTGCGTGTCTGTGTGTCGTGTCTGCGTGTCTGTGTCTGTGTGTCTGCGTGTCTGCGTGTCTGTGTGTCTGTGTCTGTGTGTCTGTGTGTCTGCGTGTCTGTGTGTCTGTGTGTCTGCGTGTCTGTGTGTCTGTGTGTCTGTGTGTCTGCGTGTCTGTGTGTCTGTGTCTGCGTGTCTGCGTGTCTGTGTCTGCGTGTCTGTCGTGTCTGCGTGTCTGTGTGTGTCTGTGTCTGCGTGTCTGCGTGTCTGTGTGTCTGTGTGTCTGTGTGTCTGTGTGTCTGTGTGTCTGTGTGTCTGTGTGTCTGTGTGTCTGTGTGTGTGTCTGTGTGTCTGTGTGTCTGTGTGTCTGTGTGTCTGTGTGTCTGTGTGTCTGTGTGTCTGTGTGTCTGTGTGTCTGTGTGTCTGTGTGTCTGTGTGTCTGTGTGTCTGTGTGTCTGTGTGTCTGTGTGTCTGTGTGTCTGTGTGTCTGTGTGTCTGTGTGTCTGTGTGTCTGTGTGTCTGTGTGTCTGTGTGTCTGTGTGTCTGTGTGTCTGTGTGTCTGTGTGTCTGTGTGTCTGTGTGTCTGTGTGTCTGTGTGTCTGTGTCTGTGTCTGTGTCTGAGTTTGTGTGTTTGTTTTTGGGTGCGGGACCATGCCCTTCCGCTGTGCTTTACCGGGATTTCTCAAGACCACTCTGTGGACAACTGTCGCCAACCATACTCAAAGGCTGATTCCGTGAGTGTGACTTTTTACTGGGTGCAACGGAAGCCATGGATTTTGATCCCCGGTGCCACCCTCAGTTCACTTGAGGCCCATCTGAGCCACACTCAAAACCCGGGTAGAAGGTTAGCAAGGGACAATCCCAACCAGAAATAGCTGATATCCGCCTTAGTTCCTTACATGGCTCTGGGATTACGACCATTTTAGTCGGGTTAGCAAGCGACTCATCTCCCGCGTTTCGACCAAACCGGCGAGCGCTGGGGCGCACGGCTTCGCGGGCTTCGCGCGCTTCGCGCTTCGGGCAGGTGCTGTCGGAGCTCCTCAGCGCCCTGAGCTTTCTGAATCGCCACGGCATGGCGCACCGGGAGCGTCGAGCGCGGGGGGAAACCGTTCGCGTCGGAGTTGAATGGCTGGGCTGAGGGTCAGGTCCCAGAATCAGAGTGAAGGGAATTTGGGGAAACAAAAACCATATGGCAGCCCCTTGTTGATGCCGTTTTTAAAGAAATATGGCCCATATGGCGGTATTTAGCTGCGTATGTACATCGATATGGCATGCAAGTTGCAGTTCGTGCTTGTAATACTTCCTGGCCATGCGGCAGTTACCCATCATTGATCCAAGCTGCCCTTGCTTCTGCGCTTTTCTGTTGATTCCGTACTGCAAGTGTTGCAGCCGTTGTACGTTGCATGGTTTGACCCACACTACTGGATGGGCAGCAGAGAAAAGGCTCCATCCCTTTGAAGGTAGCTGGAAAAGGTTGAACAGGTGGAAGAATGGGTATTTGTAAAGATAGGGGGACCTCACAAAAGGTGGCTGCCTTTTTGCTTTCCTTGTAGCCCAACCTGAATAGGGTACCTGGGTACCCGAAGAAGCGCAAACCCACGTTGGGTTGAACCCTCCACCCTAAGGAAAGGGACGCAAGCTGCAAACAGGCGCGTATACCCAAAATTGGGTGACTGCTGAACGTGGCGGGCGGGAGAGCGGAAGGGGATTGGCCC